CTTCTTCCTCTTCTTCTTCCTCTTCTTCTTCCTCTTCTTCTTCTTCTTCATGATTTTCCCGTACGTTGAAGATGTCCTTTTGAAAGAGGAAGATCCCAATCTCTGGGTCTATATTCTTCGACATGTTTGATCAGGAGTAGGGGTGTTCGCGGTCCGGTTTGGGCGGTTTAACCCCTCAAACCACAAACCAAACCGTAATGGCGGTTTATAAAATTTTCAAACCGATCGGTTTGATATCAAGTGTCCAGACCGGTCAAACCAGACCACGAAAAGGCGATCTGGTCTGACCGGTTTAGGTGGTTTGGGACTTTAATGGACTTTAAATATTAAACTTAAAAACATATATAATTTAGAATTTCAGATTAAATATCCATTTTAACAAAACAAAATATCTAAACAAATAAATGTAATAATTAAACAGCTCTTGAGTACAAAGTCGAAGCAATCCAAAGTACAAACAAATAAATATATAACATATTAGAAAACAAACAAATTAACAAAGTTACAACTCTACTGTGAGTATTGAGTAACAAAATCCACAACTTCACAACCTTCAATGGTTCAATTCTTGAGTCTTGAGTTCTTGACCAAACAAAATAGAAGCCAAATCTAAGTTGGTTGAATCACTTGGTTGATGTCTTGATGATGAGCGGCGAAATCAAACCATAGATTAGAAAAGATCAATAGATTGATGGAGTTTTTGAGGGATTTCAAAACTTGGAGACCGTCAATATCAAATGTGTTGATATGTTTAATGGTTTAATAGTTTTAGTCGTCGATTTTGATTATGTTAGATGTTAGACTTAGGTATATATTTGGGTCATAGCCAATAAGTTAAAAAAGTTGGGCTTGCTAATATTAATATATATATATATTTGGCGGTCGGTTTGGTCCAAACCGCCCAAAAAAAGTTCCAAACCGCAGACCGGACCGAACCGCCCGGTTTTGCTATTTTCCGAACCAGACCGGACGGACCGTCAGACCGCTCAAACAGCCAAAAACGGTTCGATTTGACTTGGTTCGGCCAGTTTGAGCGGTCAAAGGGTTTTTTTGAACACCCCTAATCAGGAGTTCATCTTCTTCTATTTTCCATGGACCTTTCTTTATCTCAATAGGAATTCGTTGTTCCATGATTGTCTCTTGTTTGTCTTTATTTTTGACAGAAATTTCAATACCAAATTTTTTTATTGTAGCCATCTAGATTCCGTATGATCTTGTTTGAATTTCTCCTTCGAAATCTATCTTTCTCTTCATTATTTGTTGTTTTATGTACTTGTATTCAACCATGAATCGAATAGGCTCTATTTATTTTGATTTCTCCTTTCAGTTTTCTACACAGTCCTGTTTCTTCCTTATGTTCTTCTTCCTGCGTTCTTTTCTTCTTCCTATGTTGTTTTCTGCACAATCATTTAATTTTTGTGCACAGTCCTTCAAATCTCAAACCTTGCTACAAGCCACACAGAACCAAGAACCATATGCTCTGATACCACTTTGTTGGAGTCAAACAGAAGACCATCTAATATACGTAGGAAGTTTGAAATGATCAAAAGTAAACTACAGAAACTTTTCTGCAGTTTCTGCACATACATAAAAAGGGAGTTTGCTATGATAGTCAATTTCTTATTAACACAATTCCTCAATTGTATAGTGGGTATTATTCATCATATATATACACAACCAAGGGTCATACCCTTAAGGCCAAAAGACACAACCTTTCACTAACTAATACCCCTATTACCAAACGATGTGTCTGTCCAGAAATAACTAATCTTAACTGTCAGACATAAACTAACTTAATTGTAACTGCCATATGTCTAACTTAATTTTAATAGG